ATTTTGCATGTAGTAGATATTACATTTATTTTAATAACTCTTAAAGAATCTACTCTAGATTTCTTAAGGTTGATTTTTGTCAAGACAATGGTCTAGATTATTCATATCTACATTTAGTTTAGTAAACCTATGAAATAGAGTTTTTTTTCAAATCTGAGAACACTTAGCCCATTGACAAAATGAAACAAAGAAAAAATAAAATCTTACCCAAGAAGATCAAAATCTCCAGCTTAAACAAGTATAAAACTTGATTTCAATACATGTTATTTGACCAGTAAATCACCCTTTTGAGCCTTAGATAAGTGACCTTGCCAGATTCAGAGTATTAGAATAATTAATTAATTTCACAAAATAATAACCACTTCTGGATCACACAGAACACCTACTAGATTAATTGTAATGCTTAATAACAGGTAAACAAGCACAATGTAGTTAAACTCAGGTTTCAATTCCACTAAAATTTGTTCAATTTTCTTTTTATTTTAATTTTTCAATCAGTTGGCCATGGTGATTCAGAAAATACCTTAAAAAAAGTTGTTTGGCATGAACCCTCGAGTCTTATTTTTAAAAAGGCTGTCTGTGTTTAAATCAACAATTTTATACATCAATTATCAAAACCGAAAATTAATTGAAAATTCAAATTCGGGTTCATTTTTATGGTTAGGCTGAAGAGTGCAAGACACAGCAAGAGATTCATAGGTAAAACATGTTAAATAAAGATAAGTTGCATAAATTATTATAATAATAAATCAGTGTCCTTAGGTTTCAAGTAAAATAAATAACCTTTACCCTTGATTCAAATCGTATGGAGTGTTTGCTTTATATTGTACATCATACACTAAATAAGGAGAAATCATGAGCTGTCACTGAGAAACTAAGATACAAATACCTTTGCATAGCCATTAGCCAAAGAACTTTATAAAGTGAAGACTTTTGGCATGTGAAACATGTGGAAACTACAATTCAAATAAGCTCTATGCTTTGAGGTATGAAAAATTAATGAATTAACCTTTGTTGTATTGTGTTGTTTAATAAGAGAGGGTAGTTTTTCAGCATATCCAGCATTGTGTTGTAGGCAATTGGCACCTTAACATAAGCCAAAATGCATGGGCAATAACATTTAGTAAATAAGTCAATGTAATGTTTTTATTTCCAATTTAGGACCAAGAAAGCATATATAGGCACAACAAAGAGAATGCATTTTCTAAATTATAGTTGATCAATTAAATAACTGAACTAACAATAAAGGTGCATGGACACAGATTTGAAGTTAATATTTCCTGTTTAATATTACGACTTATTTATTTTAATAGCATTTCACACAAAAATATATTAAAAATCTTATTACATCTAAAAGTTATTAAAACTTCAGTTTTTTAGACGGGTTTGATAAACACATCCTTGCACTTTCACAAATTTTATTTTTATTCTTAAAACTTAGGAAAAGTGGCAGTCTTTTTGTGTACAAATGAAAAATATTAAAACTATAATCCAGAAAATTCAGAGTAGAAATGTTTGAAAGGAAAACAAACACACAGTACATTGTCAGTCCGTGCAGTTGTGGTGAGCAGACTTTAACAATTGAATGCTCCCGGTGAATCGTCAACATCAACAATAACAGAGCTTGTGCCCTGTTTACAAAAACTGTGTACGTTTCACGGGTGTGATCAATTTGCTAAATTCTGTACACAATACTTAGCGCAGAATGATGATACTTGAGAAGGGATTTTGCTTTTTAACATTTTTACTCTGAATATAATTTTTTTTTTCTGGATTAAAGTTTTAATATTTTTCATTAATACACAATTATAGCCAATTATTCATTAATACCTTAAAATATGATTATAAGAATACACATTTTTTTCATACAAACTAACCTAAAAAGAAGAGTAAAATAGAAATATTATACAAATTACAATAATAATACATATACTACAGACTAGTTAACATTGATTCTCATGATAAATCAACTTTTCTTCTATTAAAACAGTTACAGACATGTATGAATGTAACTTGAAAAAAAAAACAACTTGTGATATCATAATCATTTTCATTACTCATAAGCAATATTAACTTGTTTCTGTTAGATCACATATAAACTTGATAAATTCTTACAGATAGTATTCATAGCCTCTAAGAAAGGTTGTCATAAGTCATGATATGCTGAGCAATCAAACAAAAATAGATAATATCTTCTGCATCAGACATGCAGATAGTACATTTTCTTTCATTACACAAACCAGTTTCTTCTGTATGTCTAGTCAACTATACCTTGTTCTATGAATCAACAAAGTTAATTTTGTTAAAAACTTTTCTTTTTTTCTTTTAACACCCCTTCCCCCTTGCTACATTACAAAATGCACTTTTGACAAGAGAATTTATTTGTATTAACCAAAATACTCAAATCAATAAATGCTATTGATTATTTTTAAGAATTTCTACCCCATAAACATTAATTTCCTAAACATGTTTGTTCAAAATACATGACAAATTTTATGACAAAACAGGTGAAAAAGAGAATTCAGGTTCGTTTTGGCAGGATTTTAAATCTTATATTTCTATTTCATCATATAGACGCTTAATCTTATACCAAAACACACTTTCAAAAACATATTGTATTTGTTGATTGTGATTATTTTAAAACCTGCTAAAAAAAATTGTTTGTTTCCTATAACCCGACCGACCCATTCATATTATCCCCGAGTGGATTTTTCTTTTCTGACAATTGGCAAAACTGCGTTTGATCAATCAGCCGATTCCATAAATTATTTTAAAAAAAAGATAATTTGTAGCTTTTAATAACTTGAGACACAAAATATGTCAATATAGTTTACAAATTACTTTAAATATAAAGAGTAATAATTATTGTAACAACAATTTCCCCCTACAACTTTGTGAATAAACATTGGAAATATGACACTTGGTATATTCAGTCCAGGGATGTTTGGCCATACATAAGTAAAAAAAAAAAAGAGTTTCCAACCTACCAACCCTTACTTTTTGGGAATGTTACAGTTAACAAACATATCTTTTTAAGCTTAATACATGTTTACTGATTCATTTGCTATGAAAAAAACATCGTTATGATCATTATATGAAAAAGTTTTGGACCGGTGAAAATTCGTTTGGTCCTGTGAAATTGTGTTAACTGTCTGTCCGAATGTCCTGTGGCGATTTTTCTTTTTCGCGAAACACTACGACAAATGGGAACATTTGAAGCTATAATCATGAATCAAAGTTATTAACCATTTCAAGAATAGTCCTTCGATGCGCTTAACTACTTGAATTGGATATTTGTTGATTTCTTTATGAAATTAATCTAGAAAAAAAGTAATGAAAGGTAAATTTTTACATAAATCCGTCTGCTACAAATTTTTTGCGTACCTTTTGTTTCTGGATCCAAGATGAAAAGAAATTTTACGTATTCCGATCCCGATCCAATTTATTTTCCAGCTTGCAGAACGAAAAAAAAAAACTTCTTTCTTTAAGCTAAAATTATACATTCAAAAAACGTACTAATAAATTAATTAATAGGTGCTATATATAATACACACATGACAACATAAGACATTAGGCCTATCAGTGTCTCACGGATCTGTGTTGCTTTTGAAGAAAAATTACCTTAAATTTTGTTTAACTACATTGTATATAAAAAAAAAACAACTAGTCATTGAAAGAATTACATCATGTAAATATAGCTTTTACCTGTATAATGATTTCCTAGCTAACTATAATTGCTGGATCTATTTTAGATGAGCCGTATGCATTTTATATCAATATTGTTAGGCCTAAATGTTTATGCTTTTAGAATACCAATCTAAATTTAATGTTAGATCCACTCGCATACTCGCCATACTCCGGATCTAACGTCTAATTTTAATTAGATTGTTAAACTACGTAATATTCCATATATAAAATGATTGGACGAGACATAATACAATCTTAGCTGTATTCCCGACTGTTTTCTAATTACAGTGAAGTTGTTTTTAATTAAACATTAGTGAAGAAACAGAACATTCATTATTTAATTTTTGGAGAGCACTCTGAGCCCCTCCCCCTTCTCTTTCTCAAATATGTAACTGCATGGATCCATGACTGATGAGCCTACATATATATATAATATATCCAAAGTCCAAACAGAGAATGCAACAGTTTTAATTAACATTTCACGTTTATCTTGAAGTACAATGATATAATATTTTGCTTGTTTCAAAATGTTATAACTAATAAATAAAATTATTAAATTATTAATTATCTCTCAAAGAATTTTACATTAATTGGACTTATTTAAGATCACATATAATGAATACTGAGATTATTCATTTTATCTTGAAAAACCACAGAGTATATAAAGCTGAGACATATGTACAAACAAGTACTTGTACTTTCTTTATCATGAAGAACTAAAACTTCATTTTACAAACCCTTTGATGACTAAGATATGAAGTGTGTGTGTGAGAGAGAGAGAGAGAGAAGGGGGGGGGGGGGTTTCAACATGGCATTAAGCATATTTTGTTTTGGGAACTTATTCATATTGATGAAGTGTCTTACAACCGAAAACTGATTTTTAAAACAAAAACATTAAAATAAGGAACATTTTAGCAAAACACTTGTTTTATTGAAAATGCATGTACATAAAATATTAAATACAGTAAAGGGATAAAAATACATAACAAAATAACTACACCTAATTTGTATAATCACAGTTAATACGATAAATATATTAAAAAAAAATCATGTTCAACAGGTAAACACGGTAAATAATAAACAAAGAAGAAGAGAATAAAATTAAAAACATAAAAAATAAATTTCAAATAAAAAGTAAGATTACATTTGAATCAAGCATTATGATGGCAGATATATGTAGAAAACACTAACGAGATCACTAAGAATAATCCTGAGCTATGTTGATTTCTTTATAAACATTGATATTTTTTTTTATCAAGAGGTAGAACAGAATGATACATGTATTGAAGGTCTTGAGTTGATTTTCTTTCATAAAAAATACTATGTATGCTATGAAATTTACTTATTAAGCAACAAATTTTCATGATATAAATCATCTGCAATAAAAACAATCTATCAAAAATAAATAAATAAATATCAATTTTTCAAACAAGCACGAATCAAAATAAAAGAAAAATATTGATATAATTTCTTGAACTCATATGATATGTTTCTTGAGCATATGTTTATAATAACACAACAAAACACACGGGCGGATAATTGTAACCAACAAAATGTAAATTCATACAAATATTGGCATTCAGTTAAAAATATACATATATGTTATTGATAAAAAGTCAAAATTTCTTTGGTCCATTAATATAGTTTATAATAAGCCATTCATAAATACCCCCAGGTACATACCAATTAATAAATAACTTCACAACACAAAACGGTTCCTTGGCTTTACTATGCCGAGTTTGGATCATCCAAGAAGTCCTTCAACGCAACGTACTTCAAAATCATGTTACTAAACAGTTTCAAACTCTGCCTCATGATTATGTAATCCCGATCATGGTTGTCTGCCCTTGACATGGTTCTGTACCGCTGGCCCATGGAATGACTCCTGTTGGCGAATTCTGTGACTTGGGCATTCTGAGACGTGAGGGCATTGGTCAAAACACAAAGAATGGACTTCAGGCGGCGGAATATGTCGTTAAGGATAGGTAAAAACTGGTCGTTCTCGTACACATCTTCGTCCCAACGCACCTGTTCCAGGAAGATCATAACCACGGATAGTTTGTGGTAATCGGTGAGTAGGATATCAGTCAACTAAAATGAAAAGCAACAATATGATTTATACATTGTCCCACAAATTCGACGATAATCCAGAAATGGCCATAATCAGTTAGCCGTCTTGATTTGTTAGTATTTGAGGACATGTGAAATCAGTTAAGTATGTGATGCAGTGTACATGTACAAGGACAAGGTTTAGATGAGCGTCTCGAACAAAAAAAAAGTTTGTATAAAAATTATCTTCATATACTAAAAAATTAAGCATTCTTCTTTACTTTTTGGAATAGTCCATTTTTCAGGAATGTTCAAGTCAATGCACATTTTATGAAATTTCAAGTTTTCGAAAACATCTCATTTTTCTCTCAACACCTGTTGTTTAGTCATAGAAAGTTGAACTTCAAAAATCCACTAGAATGGAAAGAGGACACCCCCGACCGGAAAATGTAATGGAATGTCACGAGCGTTTAACATTACCCCCTCCATGTAGAAAAACACGGAAGAGAGAAGTAATATACGCTGGACTAAGTCTCAATTTCCGTCTTTTATGAATTGAGCATATTCTATTTATTTTTATAAAAATAGGTCATAAAAGCAATTGATAAGCCTCCAATTATTTTCCTTACACTCGAGCTTTTAATATACCGTGTATTACTGCCGAAGTACGTGTAAATAATAATTTTTAAGGAGAAAGATTTTTTCAATACACCAAAGGAAAACTTTCATCTTTAGCATATTTTGACATTCATAACCTTAGTATAATTGTTTTAAATGGATGGAAATTGACCGAGTAACCTAACTTTACTTAACTGAAAAAAAAAACAAAACAAAAAAACTATATACTAGTTTATATTTATGAATTAAGACTACTTACGTTTCTTTCTTCAAACATGCGCAGGGATCCTTTGAAGGAGGGGGTGGTTGGAAATCCGTCCAGACGGAGATAGGCGGCGTCTAAATTGTTCTCACAGTCCCCCTGTTTTACCCTTACCTGGGTCTGTCAAAAAAAAAAAAAATTAAAAGTTCAGTGAAAATTTACTAGCAATAAATTACAAGATATAGCCACTTCAAGAATTCTGGTTTTAAAATATAATCATCGAAATTTTATGTTTTTCAGGGAGGCAGATACATAAACTTAGCTCCTATTTCCATTAATTTAAAAGGAGTGGTACTTTTCAAGAGGAAATTTAAGACAACAATTCTAACTTATATAGAATAAGATGAAAATATTTCCATCTATACGAGTTAAAATTCAATTCTATATTGTATACAATATATTGTATGTCCTAGTATCTTTATACATATCTTTAAAATGGTTTACAGAATGGTCATTTAGGAGATTTACAAATAATTTCAATTCTGGGTCAAATAACAAAAAGAAACGTACATAGTTATATTTCAGTTCCCATTTTTTCTCTTTTATTTCTTTCATTTGATTTAGAAGTTCCCTCTTTTTTATATAAAATATATTGTTTACCCATGTATCTTTATACATATCTTTAATAAAGGGTTTTAGATTGGTCATTATATGAGAATTATAAATAATCTCGATTCGGGGTCAGATGAAATTATAAAACGTACATAGTTATGTTTCAGCTCCTCTATTTTCTCTTTTGTTTCTTTCATATGTACTATAAGTTCCCTCAGGATTTGTGGAAGGGGTTGTACTGTTGGTGTAATACTCTGTAAAAAGTCCGGAAGCTGCTGTGTTTCCGGTTGTGCGCAAGGACTCCTCCAGTCTTCAAATGTCGAAGCTAAAGTTCGAATAGGGTTACCAAAAACAAGTGCTGGAAATACTGCTAGCACGGTTAAAGTCAAGATGCCTGAATACAAAAGAAAAAAGGCGAAAGTTTTAAATAAATATATCCTCATATAAAGTCAATAAATGTGATGTAATTTTTGAATAATTATGTTACAATTATTTCATGGATCATTTGTTCTCATAAAATATTTAAAAATAAGTGTATTACGCAGTATGTATGGTATATAATAAATGATGTTTGATGTTAACAAATATAAAAAAGAGTTTACGTATTAAGTCCATTATAATTCAATTTTAAATTAAAAGAATAACATCGATGATATTGTACATAATAAATGATATTAAATGTAAATTCATTAGTATAGTGTTTTTACCCATTGCTATTAATTTCTTGATCGTATCGATTATTGATCATTATCAATCACTATAGTTTATATATATATACAGGATATCGCGGAAGTCTTTTTGATTGGAGCACGGTCGATTACTTCCGCGGGAGTCACATGATACAATTGTGCTGGTAAAGCCAATTTTAGAAGAGTTGCGATGAGATGTGAATTTGGGGATGAGAATTTTCAAACTTTGTGCTTGTGGACTCTGGTCATTATAAAAAATATATATGTGATAAGGTTTTTTTCTACATATGCACAGTGGATTTTGTCTATTAGGGGATATTAGATTCAAATTATTGGATAGATCGGAAAAAATTATAAGGATCACGCTGGAAATGGTTTCCTCTATTTTCCTAATAGAGACCAATAGCATTGAAATTAATTGTTATATAGTTATGATAAAAACACACTTAATGTAAAAAATATATTGAATTATGATATTGGAATTGTGTAAATATTGTGCAATAAATAAAGGCTTATTTTCTTTTACAATTAATTATAATAGGAATCTTCAAAATTGACTTAGTTACCAAAGAATTGAATTTTTAGTAGGTTTGTTTTTTATCAGAGCATTTCATATAACAACAACAAAAAAAAAAATACTTACAATTACTATTAAACCGAACGAAAGCCAATATTGTTGAGAAATATAAAAATGTCATTTCTTTTTCTCTTTTTTTTTTCTTTCTATTTCGATTTATTTTTATCTAGCCTTTGCAAATAAATCCATCAGTATCAAAATGAATGTTTGGACATACAAAACTCTATGCAACACATTATAAAGTAGAGGTACTGTGAGCACTGAGCTCACTATATGATACCCCCAATGCCTCCCATATGATTTTATGCCCCCTCTTTCCCCAGCTTCTATGAAAAAGGTCAAAACACACACATATGTATAAATTTAAGTTGTACGGCAAAGTCCATGATTGCTCTTGTATACCTGAAATAAGTGTTAGATCAAAAGGTAAAATAGGAGGTGCATAATGGCATTCTGTAGTAAGAATCCGTGAAAATATCATTAAATTCTATTCATTGGTATATGAGGAGTTGTTAATACATGTACGAGATGGACATCCTTCAATATTATAGAAGGAATAGCAGTGTCCATGTTTTGCTATGTGAAACCCAAAATATGTGCCCTATCAAAAAGTAAAGTATAGGATGTGCACAATGGAACTATGTAACAAAGATTCCGTGAAAGTCCCATTAAATTTCATTGAGTGGTTTAAGAAGAGTTGCGGCTAAAGATGGGTCCCCAAAGCATAACAAACGGACGGACGGACATCCCGATCACTTTATACCTCCCTCCCATCCCACTTTTCAAGCGGTGGTTATAATAAAATAAGAGATAACCTCAACATATTTTAATATTAAATTAGATTAAAGAATGAGTATTGGAAAATGTTATTGTGTTTAAGTCTAATTTCAACAAATTTAATTTTTAAAAGCAATGAAGCAATAATACATAATTGTACAGGAAATCGAGTACACCAAACGAGTTTCTGGGGTACAATAAGTTACTTTCAATATATTTTTTTTTTGCGTTTGAGGAAATATGCATATTTGTTTTCATGTTTTGATACGAAATTCTTATAGATTCATATGCTTATGACTCTTTTCTTTGGGACAGGGACCTATTTAATCTTCAAGGAATAAATTATGTGTGAAAAAAGGGTTTTACGTGTTTTACTCTCAAAATGATTATTTATTTTGACAACAATCATTGTGACATTTACATTATAATCTACAGCGTAAATTTCCTTAGGCTGATATAAAAAAGTGTCTGCCTAAAGTTAAGTCGGCTTAAATGGTCCAAGTTAAGAGGGATAAAATGTATACATACGTGTACTTGGTAGGATTACCTACAGTTTGGTTTCATATTAAATTCTACTTACTACAAAAGATACGCGTGAATATAAATATCATGTTTAAAAATATAGAAGAAACTAACACTATTTTTTCTGATTTAAAAAAATGTCGGAGTCACTAGTATCACATGTAATGCACATATAATGGTTTGAAACGCTAAGCAACTTTTAAAACTACTTGATAATAATATAAATATATAATGCAAATCACATCTTGATGTGAACATGATATTGAAAACTGCAAATAATGCTTTTCCCTGAAGAATTATGGGAGAGGCGGTATAAAAATATTTATTTGACAGAAATAATACTAAAGTATGTTAGATTCAGAAATGCTCTCAAGTACAAATACATTGGCTAGAATAACTAACAATTCTTAATCTTCTTCTTAATTTCAGATATTTCATGATAAAGTTATATTTATTTATTTATTTTTTTGATTAGTAATTAAGATTAAAAATAATTTTTTTGATTAGTAATTAAGATTAAAAATAATATCCACGTAATCCCTCAAGTCTATTTATTATTATTATTTTTTTTTTTGAAAAAAAAAAAAAAAAAAAAAAAAAAAAACAATATTCAAAATCTTCCGCGAAAAAAAAAAAAAAATCAAAGTGTGTATTTATACATGATATTGCCTTTCTACAAATGCTCTTCATCAGGAATTTGAAAAGTGGATTAGAAATTCCCATAAGAATGATTTACTCAATGTGAATCTCGATCTAAGTTTTGATAAAATTTTCAGGTAAAATAATTTCTTACCACTCAAACATAAATGTACAATTCATTAGGATTCTTTTAAGAATCATAATTTGACTAGAATATGAAACTTGAAAGAAATTCATTTTGTATTTTCATAAAGAAATGACAAACTAAAGTCTATGAGAACTGAAATAGGTAAAAAATAACTATGAGTAATTGATATAAAAAAAATCTACAATAATACAAATCTGTAACCAGGGCATAGAATCTGATATAGACCCTGGGATTCCAGAGGTGGGATCCGGTGCCTTCGAGGAGTAATCATAAACAGTGGAGCTACCACAACCGCTGTGAATCTTACACATTGACAGATTAATCAGTTTATGAAAAAAAAACTATGTAAAACGACAAGATATGAACATGAAAAAAAGTGGACGTAATATTTCTTTAAATGCATGGAAGATTCATTAAGTCTTGTGAAAGTGATTATTTTATCCATTATAGATTAATAATATAATTATAGAATTATGGCGAGAGAACAGGAAACGATTCCCTTTCCGCATTGAAATAATGTTTCCTCAAAATTTATGGCGAGTTGGAATACATTTTCATGAGGTTATAAATACAACAAACATTTGTAAAGGAAATGACCGGTCGACAGGGCATGCTCACTCCTACAAACCCGATCCCATCCTTTTTGTGTCCAGGTTTCCGTAATTTTTCCGCATTAACGACTTGTATTCTCTCTTTAATTATATTCAGAATGAACAATATTCTTGATCCCCTTTATTTTGATTTTTTAAAATTAATTTCTGCTCTACTGCTGTGTACATGTATATAAGCAACTTATATTAGATCGATCATGCTTATTACGAGTTATCTTCCTTAGTCGTAGATAAGTAGTAGATTTCAAGCCACCAAGCTTGAATTCATAAATCTCTCTTCAATATATCTAATTCAATTCTATTCAGTGGCGGATTTAAGGGGGGGGGGGGCGCACCAGGCGCGCGCCCCTAAAAATATCAAAGTTAGCGTAAATCACAGTTTTGTCTAGAAAATGTAAATATGTCTACAGAATATTCTAGAATGAATATGGGCCCCCACAGGGCTTTGCATACATGTCTCCTGCCTATTTTTGGCGCCCCTCTAACTTCAATTCCTGGATCCGCGCCTGCTATTCATTTTGATTTTTGATATTTTGTATAAGCAGAATATTCAATGAATATCCCACACTATACATGTATTAGACAATTCCTCCCACCCCTACTAAGGGTTAAGTAATGTTAAGTACTGATGAAGAACTATTAATTAAATATGGCTACTGAAAAAAACTTTTTCAAGAATGAAAATCACAATTTTCCAAAAATTGATAATAAAAGAGAACGATTTTACAACACTCTGTACATACACTTCTCGTAACAAAAAATGAACTAGACTTATTGACTTGACAAACAGTTACCTCTTCTAAAAAAAATGGAATATTTCACATGATGAAATTGGATATCTTTAGCTAGAATTATTTTGTTAAAAATCATACTAAATTTACACACAAGTACTCTGAAATTTATGCTTAAAATGTGTTCTAGTTCCTCATTAACAATACTTATAAATCATTGGGAAACAATATTTCTGATGGTTACTAATTGCACACCTCTATCAAACTACCTGCTTTTATATTCTTATAAAACAACAGCTGTTCAAAAACCTTTAATGAGAGATAGGAAACTCTTCCTGCATTTTTATTCTTCAGTTTGATATATTGACGATGTCCTGTGAATTGAGATCATTTGAATAATTGATATAAATACTCGATATATCCAGGTTAAGCCAAAATGAACGACACCAGAGAGTTTGTCACATTTATAATGTTCGGATGTTTTACTGACCATAGGCGTCGGAAGCAAATTGAAAGTTGGGGGCTAAACCAACAAAAAAAAGGTAAACCCCAATTTCCAATGCCTATATTATGTCTTCATGTATATTTGCAAAATAATGCCCCCCTCCCCCCGGTTCCAATACCCATGCTGACTAGAAGTCAATCCCCCAAAACTGTATTGTAAATATGATATCAGCAGCATTTCTGTCGTCAGTTGCGAAATTGTCCATTTATGTTCGAAATTAATGGTTCACTATCACGTGCATAAGTTATTTATGTGATCCAACTTATTTGTTTAGCAAGTGTTAATCCGAAGTTTTTTTTAAAATTTTAATCAAAGACAAGCGAATGAAAAAAAACGGTGATGTTTAAGAGCTCTTATAAAAAGATCATTTAAAGGTAGAATTTCTTTGGTCGTATATTGACTTTGTTGTAAATACAAAATACCTGAATTTGGACCAACACGTTTGATTTTTTATAATAATCTAATAAATTTGACAATTGATGGAGTCTGGCATATATGTTTCGTATTTGGATATATTATTATAAGAAGACGTTTATGGTTATCTAACATCTATACTTAATGATAAACGTTTACTTATGTGTTTAACTTTTCAATCGCCAACTTCCCTTACTTATGCAGCAATATACCCTTATCAGTTGCATACACGGTCAATATCTCTCAGTTGATTCAATACGCAAGAGCAGGTTCTACATATGAATAATTTGTAAAACAAGGTAAGTTATTGAAGTTGATGAAAGAATAATATCAGCAATCTTGGTTTAAGTCATCAAGTTCTATGGTCGATACAAAAACTTTGTAAGCAAGAAAAATTTATCACTGAAACAATATATGACTGACGTTTTCTTCCTACTAATTGTTAGGTCATTATTTGCACACACTGAATATTGTCGATGGATTTTCCAGTTATTTCCCGATTATGAGAAGGAGCACACCAGGTGGCACTGGTCGGCAGGGGATGCTCACTCCTCCATGACACCTGAGACTACATCAGATGTTTAAGAGGTCGGTGTTTGTTCT